ATAAAATACATTTTTATTGTCCACATGATGTTTCGTAATGTTTTAATAGGGTAACTCATGTGCCAGTTAGCTTGTTGAATTTAAAGCTCATCAATACTGACGTTTGCCAAGGCTAATTGAAGATATTTCGAGACAAGGTATATGCGCGCAATTTTTGGATGTAACCGGTAGCCATTTTGGATCGTTACTATGTCCTCATAATATTATTCAGGCACTTATATGCTTTAGAAGATTATTGGAGTAAGGATGTGTAAATAATAATCATCAAAATATAATATCCAAATATGGGGAAAAATATATTACACGGTAGATAATAACATTTAGGCAAATTAGGTATATTTAGGGTTAAAAGTAACGATGGTATCCATCCACATATAATTCAAAGAGATTATCCAGCATGAATGCCATTTTTTTATAACAAAACATGCCGTGAAATTAATTCATAGCGAACTTTTCCACATTTGGCTGGCATATTGAATGATGTAACATTTTAAAACACTTCTCAATCGAATTCACCAAATCTAACATTCCATTTTGTATGAGAAAAAAAAATGATAACATGCTTTTACCAAAGCGATTAAGTCACTACCATTCAATTGAAAAGTACGGTCACCACAGAGTGTCCAGAATATTCGTCAATTTTGTCTAAGCTTTTGCCGAATGGCAGCACTCAGAGATTACATTCGTTGCCAATCAATTTCAAACTGCTGTTAATTTAATCAGTCTGGCGTGTGTGATACCATGTTCCTTGTGTCGGAGGGCCATACAACTGAGTTTCTATTGGACATGATAATAATTATCGAGTCATTAGATGATGCCATGGACTGCATCCAAGTGGCTGCAACTGAATAACAGTGGAAAAAAATATCCTCATCTGCAACCTCTGTGCCTTCTACAACAGATCTCGCGATAAACTGTGACGAACTTGAACACAGTTATCAGTATATTGTGTGGCAAAAGATGAATTTCAGTTCTGAATAAAAATGGTCGGCGTAGACGAGACTTAATGGAATACTCCTCGCCGAAAACGGGTGTTCGTGAAATTGTATGACAAAAGAAGAACTATTCAGGTGTGGCATTGAAAAGTGAATTAATGTTGTCTGACATAAATAGGAATAGTACATGGTATGCTAGAAGCAGCACTATTTTTTTGATTTTGGTTAATGTTTAAGTCTGTGCGTAGAGTTATAAAAAGGAACTGTTTGGAAGCAATATTTCATGTTTTGTTCTCTTAATCATTTTTTAAATAAAACAATTAAAATGCAAAACTTGAATGTACGACATTTGACATATTCTCTTGGGGGAAATATTGAGAACAGCTTTAGCCCCCGAGAAAAACAGCTAACAAGAGGACCAAGTTTGAAATTAGAAATCTAAATTTTGTACTTGTCATTTCTCTGAAACGTTCTCATTAAAAGCAAACTGTGCAGGTTTAGTCCTGTTTTCTAATTTAGTCTTGTGTTTCTTAGTTTTCTTATTGTTATGTTTTTAATGAAGCGTGTGGGGACGCAACGGAGAATTTGCCCCGGAGTAAAAAGAGAGAAAACATTCATATATGGGAGGTGCTAAGTTAGAATGTTGTAAATTTACTATTTTTGGGGATGGGGGAGGGGCGGGGGGTTTGGACTAAAAAACTGTCCCTTTGAAACATGATAAATGGAGAATATGCTGGAAAATACAGGATTTTATTTTTTTGGGATGTGTTTTGTCCCCTCTAGACAATGTGTATTTCTGTTTGATTTTGTGTGCGTGGGTGTGTGTGTGTGAGGGGGATTACTTGGTGAAAATGGGTAATAAACAGGCAGTGAAAAGTTGTTATTTCTTTGTTTTTTTTATGGAAGCCAACTTTGGAGAATTTTTTTTTAATCCTTATAGCCCTAGTCGACCAATTGTCCATGGAGACCTAGCTGTGGTCATATAGTTTATTACATATATTAGTTTACCCAATCGGAGACTGGTAAAAAACAGCAGAACTAAGAGAATGCGACATACTCATTTTTATTTCGCTGCAAGGAAACAAAAGGACGTGAAAGTCTAAAATTTTGTTTTTGTACTTTCCTTGCGATAAACATAATACTGAGTTATAGAGGTGCCTACGGAGCTCTGGAAGTGCCATCCGACTTGTTCAGATAGGTCATGATACTGACTTATTGTACCTCGGGATTACGAAATAATACAGACAAACCATGAGATGATTTATTTGGGGGATGGCAACATCCTGACAAAAGGAGGACGACATCTCGACATAATGTTATGGCATGACGCAATCCTGAAAATGGGATGATGACATCTCAAACAATCTTTTATGGCATGAAGACATCCTGAAATAATTTAATAGTGCACAACGCGACGTCACGACATTCGGAAATTGAAATGACGACATCCCGAGATTATTTAGTAGGGGATGACATCCTGAAAGTAGGAAGACGACATACTGAGATATTACGTGGTGCATTGACGCCATCTTGGAAACGCACATACATCATAACCCATCTATTTATATGTAATTGAACTCTTTCACTAAAGTTTCGAAAAAGCGAAACTTGTTTCAGCATTAGAACAAAACCCTGTATTGTCGTGTGAATGGAATGTTTGTCGTTCACCCATAAGGAAAATCTTATCAGAAGAGCAATAATGATACTGGCATTGTCTGATCTTTGAAGCACTCGCTTCTCAAATTGTCGCAGAATTTTTTTTTTTTGGCTTAGCGATTATTCAAACATATCTGTGCACTTAATTAAACAAACGATATTATCAAGCTAAAATCTGTAACCTTAAAGATCGTGTAAACATTTGCAGTAAATTCTGGTTGCAAATTGGCGAAAATGGCGGGGGTTTACACGCACCATTATTTTCAAGACACCCTGTACATTATCTCCTCCTACTTTCAGGATGTCGCCATCCCCCTATAAATCATATCAGGATGTCGTCTTTTTGGCATGTATTATGTCGTCATCCCTAGATAAAATAGGTCAGTATCTGAACAAGTCGGATGGCACATCGTACAAAGGCACGAGCAAGGATCTCCCCGACAAAGAAATTAAAGATTAAATATTGTCAAAGTTTGGGCTAAGTTGCCGGCAATACACGTAATGTGCTTTCAAGTTCAAAATACATAAAATAAATTGCATAACCCGTGACAATATCATAAGGAAAATATCTTTATTTCGTGAAGTATCTGAAGATTGAAATCCCACCTATCCTTAAATACAATCACAATTAACAGACAACAGACAAAACTAGCAGCAATAACGTAATTTGTTCTGCATTGTTTTGTGCCATACGAAACTGAAATCATACAGACCCATTTGTAAGATTTTTGTCATAAATTCGAAAAAAATTTATGCAACAGGCCCCCTTTAAAAAAACAACATTCAATGAATATACTACGAGTAAATATCTACCTACCCACCAACTACCACGATCGAACATGATATTTTAAATGTCTTCATGACGTACATTTCCAGTTTTGGTTCGTCTACGTGCTCCTAAACAAACCCGACACAAGAATTGCGAATTGAGCTTGTGATGTTGATGAGATATTGTTTACTATATGGCCAAAATATTCATAAGAAATTACGTAGTGACGTAATCATGACGGTCTCCATTTCAACCAAAAACACAACCCAGCTTACAAACAACTCCAACAAAATTTAAGTTTTGTAGATACTCGAGTTTAAAATGTTCACATTAATTATCACAGGGCTCATGATACATTACAATTTACTATGTAGTCTTGGTCTGCGTCAAATTGTATTCGATAAGATCAACCTCTGATGTACATATGTAGTTCTGTACATATATAGAGAACATCTATGAACGCTCACAAATGCGTCATATCCCATGAAGTCAGTGCGACCATTTGCGACGTCATTTCGTATCATTAGGGAGGTTTCGCAAGCGAACGGATACGCTTACACTTACGTTTAGCTATCCGTATCCGATTTCTACTTACGTGTAGCGAGCGAGATATGCGTGTCGTCTGCACGTATGACGTCATACGCAACTCACTATCGGCTAAACGTGCAGACGGCACGCATATCTCGCTCGCTACACGTAAGTAAAAAACGGATACGGATAGCTAAGCGTAAGTGTAAGCGTATCCGTTCGCTTGCGAAACCTCCCTAGTGTATGTTGGTACCGTTATCTAACTTTACTTCAGTGTATCAACCTGTCAATAAATTCCAATTTTGCACAATTATTCAGTTCATTAAGATTGAAAAACACAAAAATCTCAGGACATCGTCATGCATCATCTCAAATTTGACCAATAACACATGATCTACCTAAGTATCAGTAAGTCTGACTTACAATGCTCTTGATAATGTGCCTGTCAACGTAACATCATTGTTTGGAACTCAATATTCCTATCGCGTCGTTACATAACTATCATGAGAAATACTTTTCGTTTTGTCAAGAATGCATTGGTGAATAAAACTTGTACACATCCCAGACGAATGACATGAAGGTCACAACAAAATACCAAAAAAAAAGGAAACACTAAAATCTTAACACAACGAAAGAAAACAAACTTCATTTATAAACTTAGAAAGCTTACCAACATTTAGCCTTGCAAAGACAATCTGACACACTTAGATTTACTAGTAAGAGTATTGGGTAAAGTTACCCGTTATCCTCATAATGTATGCCCTAACTGTCAAATAAATTATGAGAGTCAATCTAGGAGTAACAGTTCTGAAATCTGTTCACGTGGGACATAAAGGCATATGTACACAAACTAGCACTCACTACACAGTTAAAAAAACACATATTAAAACATTTAGTTACAAGTACATCAATTAAGGAACAGTTAAATGCTTGAGTTTGAACGACTCATAATAACACAATACAGGTTGAGTAAAAAAAAAAATGAAACCCAAATGTCGGGACTAGTGAAGTTGTGCATGTTGCACTTTCAAAATCTAGGATATGAAAACGCGATTCTTAAGCTTTCTTTTAGTACAAAAATCATTCAATTCACTCACGTACTTTTTAAGTTACAGTATTTTAAACACGACCACCATTTTAAAGTTCTGTCCATGGATCACAGGAAAAGGCGTGCGTTCTTTCAGCAAAACGAAAACCATGCAAACACATCTCTATGTGATTTGTTTTGGTTTTGATGAAAAAACAATTCCTTTTTGTGTACGTGGACCTAAATACATAACGGTGGTTGCGTTGAAATTTCTGGAACTTGGAAAGTACACGAGTGATTCTATTAATTCCAATTCTGAAGGAAAGCTTTTGAATTGGGCTGTCATATCCTAGATTTTGAAAGCCCTATACATGCAGAACCTCACTAAAAAAGTGTTCCAGACATGTTGGTTTCGTGTTTTTTTGACTCGCCCTGTATAACACAATTGTTTCACCTTCACAACTGTAAACAAAAAATTCTAGTAATACAACACACGCAAAAAAGAAAAATTTAGTGTAAAATCAGGAAAACTGCTCATATGCACTACATTGTAATACAGCAAGATATTTGCCAGAGGGGACCCATCTTGTCCGTATATGGCAAGAATTCTTTTCAGACATCTGGGGCTGCATGTAAAGTAACAACAGGCAGAGCATTTAATGGGAGCATGCAACAATTCCAGCTGGGTCTGGTAATGCTGCCCTTAAACAACCAGAATGGGTGCAGTGCACTGCAAGTGGAACAACAATTTAGTGGTTTACAGTGCACTGGATAGTTGACCGTTATGGGTTCCGTGCATCACTAAATGAGGGCTTTTTTTAAACCAGTTTTGAGATCCATATTAATCGGCAACACTAAGCACCTGCATAACAGTGTTTGTTCACGTGGGAAGTATGCATGACTTCCTGAATGCCTTAAAGCCATTAACCACAGCATCTTTGCAGGAGCGTCGGATTTCATCGACACTAAAGTGTGAACAATTTTTGATGATTGCCAAGACTAAGCCCCACCCACAATAAATTTGGGTCCTTTGAAATATGTAATGAAATCTAGGTCTCCCTCAACTCTCCTTTTTGTGGCTGTTGAGGGGATACTTGTGCATGAAGCCCATAGGAGAGTAAACTGCCAACAATTTAAAAGAACTGGTTGGTGGAAATCAATGTCTATAAGATTAGCAGTTACAACGTGTGGAAATATCTACTTTCACTGGTTACTTTGTTCTATTTGAAATTAGAACAAACTTGTTCAGTGAAGATAATTGCAAGAAATAAGCAAGACTGGTTTACAACTAAATATACTCAACGTAACAAAATATTAAGCACGTCATTTCCAGTATACTAACCAACACTATTTTTAACATAACTAACTGTGCCATAGTGTAAGTAGTTATGACCATATGGTGTTACCCAAAAACCTAAATGACACTGACACCCTACGATGCAAACCCTAAAATCTGAAATCACTGTCCTGTGCTCTAACCTATGTTACTAGGTAGTGTTTGTGCTTTTTACAACAGGAAGCACTGGGTTGTACCCACTGTTATAACAATACGCAGTATACCTGTTACGGCGAACTACCATCCTGTGAAGATAGAACATATGTTTCACTTTTGGCATGGCACATAAGATTTTTTTGAATCTTGAGAGCCACACAAAGGTCTGTTCAGCACTAAGTGTGTTGTCTGTCTCAGCAAGGTGATCACTGGGGTGATACTTTGTTTTGCATAATTTGTCTGTGTGGTTCCGTATGTGCAATCTATCCACACACTTGTGGAGACTCAACCACATTTGGGACCAGGGCCAATCGAGTGGTAAAGGCTTCCTTGCAACCTTCATATTGTCCAAGTGACACATATTGTCATAGACAACAGCTACATTCGACCAGGAATTTACAGGAACCGTCTTCAAGTACTCAGATAGCCAAGACACTAGTATCAGGAAAACCTGGGAGGGTGACTCCGACCTGCAAAAGCAAAAAAAAAAAAAATTTACAATGGAGCATAACATATTGGTACAATATCAGGATGCCTACCAACACACAGATCTGTGATGAATGTACCCATTGTAGTTTCTGCAGTAAGGGACCCGCGACATTGCAAAAAAAAGGTTGGACGTCAACAGAGACGTCCACTAAATACTCCATGCCAATGATGTCACGTGATGACGTCATCAGTGCATTATGATTCGGCCCGAGACCTCTGACAGTGGTCTAAGTACATATACTGCTTATATACTAAAATAATGCTTCAAATACTTGAAACGGGTCATTTCAAGAGGATTGGTGCAATATTTTTGGCCGAAACTTCACAAATCATTACTAAAATATTTCAATGGAGCATGATGTTCCTGGGATGTTCTATAAATAGGGTTGACAAGACATACATGTACCCCCACCTCATTTATGATCAGTAATACAACTTTGTACTATTACTTGTCTCTCTCAATTTTTTTGGGGGGGAGGGTTTCCTTTCTAAGAGGGACCCCCCCCCCCCCCCCTTAGCCTGTACACTTTAGTGCAAACTGCACAATACCTCACGGATGGCATTCACAACGGACTATACATGGTCTGCTACAACCAGACATGTAATAAAACCTAGACACATTTGCTTTTGTGCCTGTGAACAAAATGCAGCGCGTATAGAATAACTAAGAAGTATGCACGTAAATAGAGGACATATGCATGACATTCGCGCATTGCGTAATTAAGCGTAATTAATGTCGTGTATAGGTTTTATTATATGTCTATGGCTACAATAGACTGTCTAACCAGACTACACATAAAGAGTGTGTGTGCAAAAGGCGCTAGGGATTGAATACCACACAAAAACAAGTGGAGCTAATGTAGACATATTAACCAGTCAGCCTTGCCTGCCTACAAAAAATGCCTGTGCGTGTTACAATCAACTATAGTTAAAGCACTGTTAATACAAATTCTGATTATAGCAAACACAAAGCCTTCATCTCGACCGTGCATTTATGAGCACAGTGAAACGGACTAGCATTCCTCTTAACATAAAAATGTGATATAATAAATATTATGACTAGGTCTGGCTGAATTTGTATTAATTTATGAGAATCGACTGTATTATTGGCCTGCAGCACAAGGTAGTTTACAAAAAACATTGCCAAGATACTATTGCACCAATTTACTTGATCTACATGTATACCATGTGCAAAAAATGTAACACTCACTTGTATAAGGTTTGCCAAAACTCAATATGGCCACCAGCTCTGACAACAAACAGATGTCCTCTAGACCATTTTTGAAGCCTCTTTCTTGCCCCAACATCCTTCTTGCAAGTTGAGGGAACCTCTTCAACACAATCCTTCATCATGGTGGACATGGAGGCACTGTGTTGACTTAAGAAGCTCTTGGTCCCTGTAGGTCAATGAAAAATTCAAGCAATCAGATTTCATGCACATTTCTGAAAATTATGTTGCATGGCCGTTCCATGACCAAATTATCAAAATCCAAACTTGAAAGCGTGTTCAATGCAAAATGATTAACAATAACAGAAAACAATCAGGTAACAAAGCCATAGTGTATCTTAACAGTAAAATAATTAAAATTGTAACACTATTACAGGATACTGCGCCCCCTGCCAGCTAGATGATCTTACAATTATGGGGGCCACTCTCAACTGACAAATTTCCGAGAAGGTGTACAATCACGGTTACGCTTCAAAATTTATAATACAAATTTGTATGATAAGTGTTAAAGGGTTGCATATTGAAATATTACTTTTGCCACAATAGACTGCGCATGTGGGTAACCAACATGTGCTCCCCTCCAATACCACACTGCATGTGTCAGCCGCAAATGTCATACACACGCACATACACATGGCAAACTTTTGAGCATGCATGTCGGACATGAGTCACGGCTGTGATAGGTCAAATCCCAACAAGCCAGGGCTTAATTGGTCTACAGTCGACTCTCGTTAGTACAAACTCTGTTGATACAAAATTCTGGTTATAACAAACATAAAGCCTTAGTCCTGACTGTGCAATTATGTGCACAATGAATGGGACTGATGTTCCTCTTAATACAAAATTCTGATATAACAAACAATTTGGCTAGGTCCGAAAGAGTTTGTATTAACAAGACTCGACTGTATTTACATGTTGAACCCAAGCGGGTGCGGTAACCTTGGTGAAGCAATTTTGCTACATTTTTCATCGACATGTTCTGCAAATCCCCAGTATGTTTTGAAGTGTTTCCACCATTATTATATACAATATATAATGTTTTAGGTATTTAATGTTTAAGGAATTTTTTTACGAAAAACGCAAAGAAAAAAACCTCAATCTTTCTCTTCATCGTGCCAACTCAGTGAACTGTGTGATCTTTAATACTGGAATTTAACAAGCTTAAAAGCTGCAAATCAACACATTGTACATTATCAAATAACTAAAAACGGCGAAGCCGGCATGGCTCGCTGTTGAAGGTGGGCAGGGAGGCTGAAGGTAGGGTTGGGGATGGGCTTGATGGAAGGGGATCAGGAATCATGGGTTAGCCGTCACCGCGCTTTGGGGAAGATTTTCATTGTTAGTGTAATTAGGACCTAGTTGTGGGGACTTTTTGCAGCCCCCCCCCCCCCCCCAGTGTCTTTGGTCCCCATATTACCGTGGGAGAACTTGTGTGTAGTTCCCACAAATGAGGAACAAGATTGTTATATTCATGTAGCCACACTACCGTCACCACACCCCCCCCCCCACAACCTTACCCCATCCCACCACCTACCCTTCCCCACCCCATGCACCCCTACCCCTATCTCCCTCCCCCTGGACCCCTGCCACCACCCACTCCATTCTACCCCTACCCATACCCAGCCCACCCCGACCCCTACTCCAATCCCTACAGCCACCTACCCCATCTCCCCTCCCACCAACCCCTACACCCCACCTGAACCCTCCCCTAAACATCCCTACCCCACCCCTACTCCAACCCCCCAAAAACAAAAAGATCAAGCCAGAAGGTCTTTGATTGCAAAGCTGTAATACTTTAGTTGTATGAATACAATATGCAGCCAAGTAAAGTGCCCACCAACCAACCAGCCCAACCACCAACCAGCCAACATAAACCACCAAAGCATACAGTGTGTTTCACACCGCCATTGGAATTAAATCAGAATACCAATTAACACAAACTCCCAACCAACTTTAACCCTTACTCTCTGAGGGTAGTTTACTGCATGTCAGTTGGTTATGCCAATGCCCTCCAGCTGCAGTTAATTGGAGGATACTTTGATGTAGCAGTGAAGGCTCCAATTGGCAGGAGTTGGAGGCCCTGGAGGGTGCCTGATACTGACCAGCTGGGGGCACTTGATTGTTATCAGAGGACTCTCATTGTTCTCTGTGGCATGTATTGGAGTGCCTGTCCAGTTACCCTTGAAATGACATGGCAGATATTGGAGGGCCATGCAAAAAACATAGGAGATTTTCTTGAGGCACATATTGGCATGCGTTGGAGGGTCTAGTAGGGTAAGGGTTAAAGAAGTAGAGGACCTAGTCCATCAAAATCCATTAACACCACCACTTTTCTCCAAAGCAATTCAATTTGGATAAGCTTGATACACATGGCCCATCTGCCACAAGCCCATGGGGGGATGTTGAATGATTTAGAAAGAGTAGGATTAAGAATTAATAACAATTTGATTACCTTGTGCATCCACTACAGATTCCCCAGTAGATGGCACTGGCTGTAATTTCGAGAGAACTTCTTCCACTTTGGCTATCGTTTGTGCTGTTAATAAAAAAGACAAGAAAAAAAAAATAAAAAAATATTAATAATAATATTGAAGAGGTGAATGGAATAGAATAACCTTTCGCAAATTAATCTTCCGCTATTAAATCAAATTTGATCAATGTTAACAAACATTTATGTACATTCTCAAGAATTATCCACTACAAACTGAAGCCCCAACTGTGAACAGAACTGAATACGGAGTCATTTCAATATGACTTCTCCCACGACCATGGGCATTGCTGTTGACAAATATAGGTAGCTGCTCGCATAGTGAATTTTACATGAAAATTAGCACTAACCATTACAGCTGGCACCAGGTGCCAGGCAGAGCTTGTCAGCAATCTTATCACTGCCCTGACTGCCAGTAGATGTAGATGGACCTTTAAAAGAAGGGTTAATTCTTTATGGTATTATTGTTCATTTCTACCTAAATTTACATAAATTTGTACATGTAAATGCAAATTCAGTTCGACAAAAAATCAAAAGGGTACATCATTTACAGTTATAAACTACATTATAACTGATAACAAGTATTGTTACTGTCAATTTTTACAAATTGGAATCTGTTTGTATACATATAGACCATTCCAAGGCAATAAATATTCAAAAGAAAAAGCCAGAGACACTTTTACAGTAATGCAACTGGGGAATTCACAGAAAATGGAAAACCATAAAAGACTTTGCATATTGTATTTGAATTTGTTATGGCATTCATGAAAAGAAATAAACAAGAAAATCAGAGGACCTGCAAGGTGCATGCCTGGAACATCAGAGAGAGACAAGTTCATTCGAAACCACACAAGACTTTGTAGAGAAAGTTTCAATTGGTATTGGCATTTATGATTTTCTACATTGTGTATTACATGAGCGAAGAGCAGTCGTTAATACTGTTTTCCCTTTTTTTTTTTTACAAACTTAGGTTATTTGTACATTTTCCAATGTGCATGGTACTTTGGACACTCCTAATTCATAGAATTGCCATTATACTTAACAGACATATGACATGTTAATTCATACCAACTATGCATATTTGTAAAGAATATAAGATACAAAAATTATCATTACTAAATATGAAGAAAATCACGTAGTTGGTAAACGTGATGCATGACCAATTGGGAGTTCATAAATATGGTCATGACATTTAAAAAAATACAGCAAGTGAGACTTTACAACATAAATACATGTACACGCATACATACACCCATACTAGCATTTTTGTTGATGGTGTAAATCAAGGATTTTCTTTTGTTCCTCGTCCATTTTCATTTGTTTGTAACAGCTTTCATTGTTTTTGTGCACGTTTTCTAATCGCAGTCATCTTCAATTTGGTTCCTGTCCTCGATTCACTGATGATGTTGCACGTGTGTGTCCTGGATTTACACCATAAACAAATGCAGACACACAAAAGGAATACGTCATCCAAATATCCCCCTCGCGCTTAAAGCCAGGGGGATAAAAATATTGGACGACATATCTGTACATATACAAACTGGTACCTTTGGAGACAGGATCTGGTTGTTTGACGTCACAGTGCTTAAGAAAAGCATGCAGGTCAGTTGGTATTTTCAACTCTTTTGCATTTGCACAATGCTCTAAGCAGAACGCCTTTCCTTTCACCGGAGATTTGGTACACACATCAGGTAGACTGGGTACTGGAATGCCTGAAACCTTGTTCTAAATAATGTGAAATTAAAAGTAGATAAATATAGATGAGGCATGCCCAGCAAGCACTCCTAATCCTAACAAACCCTACTTAAGGACTAGCATCTCCAACTATCTTCAGTCTCCTGACGATGACTAGAGCATGCTAGTTGAAACGTTGAGACCAAAGACAAGTTCTTTTAGAACTTACAGCAGGACTGTTCTAAACAGAACAAAAAACTACTTAGCAAAGTTGATAATAAGCAGGATAAGTTCTTCTCAGAACTAATATCTTCTAAGCAGTAGTTATTACCACATGGTGTTACCGCAAACCGAAACGATACAGACACTGGCATTTGTACACGTACAAACACGGTGTGCTTAATATCTGGACAACATATAACTGAATATTTTAAAATCTGAAAAATATTCAGTGTTTTCCAGAAAGTACTCTTTGTTATTGTGCGATTTTGAGGAAACTGCCAAAAAACAAAAACATAAAAATAATAATAATAAAAATAATTAAATAAAATGTAATACACAAAAACAAAACACAAGAAATTGTCTGCCAGAAAGTGACAAAACTATGAACGACAATTTGGCTTACAGTTTACAACCAACAAACTTTAAGAAAAAATGAATTTGATTGAAAGTAAATGTTAAGCAAGACAAGTAACAATCCTTACAATCTGAATGATAGCAAACACATTTACCTCGCATTTATGCATGCAGTGAGGAAAACTGAGTTTCCAGATGCCATCCGCAACGAACACTCGGCCACAACCTATTCAAGATAAAAAAACAAAATTAAATACATGCTTTTGAAATAAAATGAAGGGAGGGGGGTCCAATGAGATCATTCCTGTCTTCTTACAAGGATGACGCATTACCAGATATGCCACCAGTATATCAAAACTGAAACTACCCTTACCCCCTTCCAAAATGTGGGTTTTTGGGGTTGATGTTTTGGACTAAATCCTCATACATTGTAATAACATCCTCAGGCTCCGCATCAAGTTTTATGGCAATTGGATGTCTATGACCTGGAAGCAAACAAACCTATTTATGTAAAATGAATATTAAATTCTTAAACTATTTAAAAAAAAAAAAAAAAAAAAATCATGTTATTTTGCACATCATTTTGCATATTAATTGATAAAAATCTCTATATTGCCCCACCACAACTCAAGACAACAGGACCTTCTCAAAAGCCTGGCACACACTAGACGTGACCCGAGTCAAACTTACTTTGCTTTGCTCAATCCATATGGCATTGGTTTGTTCATACACGTCATAATTCAATACATAGAAAGACCACCATGATCAACGTCAACACAAATTACTGACTTGGGTCAAGTCTAGCCACAAACAAGAGCGACATGACATACAATGATGTCATCACGATGTCATCGTTGCTATAAAATCATTAGCGTTTTTTTTTTTTTAATTTGAGAAAATACAGTTTGAAATTTCGATTGTCGGTTGATAAAAGAAATCTGTCTACCACGTTGAATATGTTAGTTGGGACAATTTAGGTCAATATTTCCGTAAATAGAATTTTTTTTGGCTTTTAAACTTGTTATTTTCTGAGAAAACACAGTCATTGTAGTCCAAACCTTCAGGTGTTGTGTGCAACAAATGGTCGTTATCCGTTAGTGACCTTTTGTCCATAACGCTTTTTGGGCTTACTTTAGGTGCAATATGAAATAAAAGGTCATTATCCGTTGGTGGCCTGTTATTGATAACTCATTGGTCATAATCATGTTTTTTAACGTAATGATTCCAATTAGCGACCTTATAAAAAGAATACAAATGTTAAATCAAAATTAAGCCCTTTTTTAATTACGTGCAGTTAATTTCCAGTATAATTAAAAAGATAACATGAAACAATTTTTTGGCAAGAAGCAAAAAAGTCATTTTGGCCCAAACTGCCATAACGACTTAGCCGACAATGTATATACATTGTGTGTATGCTTAGATGCAAGATAATGTATGACAAAGATAAATACCCAAAAAGATGTTACAATAATTAGGTAAAGTAAGATGGAACAAAAAGGAAGGAAGACAGCCAAAGGAAGAAAACAGAATGAGATCAAAAAGAAATGCTTTCCTGCAGTTTTTCAGTTAAATGCAACAGAATCAATCAATCGGGACATGTGCATCCAGGTCCATTTTGTTAAACCCTTGTTGTTGTTTTTTTTTGGGGGGGGGGGGGGGGTGGGGAGAGGGGGTGTCAACAGTGGTACTCGTGAATATGACATTTACAAACGATTTTTAACATACATTAAGCAGATGAAATATATCATTGGCTTGATGTAAACAGGTGAAGATGCAAGTTAAATGAATTTAAATAAAAAAAAACCCAACCTTTTGCTGCACAGTTCGGATGGCACTTTGGATGAGCATATTGTTGCTGGCGCCGTATACACTCAACCTGTTCAAGGATCTTGACTCGGTCGGATTTACTGTTGGCCTTCATAAGGCCAAACATATCAAGTCGTTGAAGATCACGTAATTCATTTTCCAACTCTCCATTGCAGAAGGCTGATGAAATATGCTTGGAAGTGACACCTTAGTGAATAAGCAAGTTAACAGTAAATTTAAGGAATATTTTTAAAAGGAACATGTTACACAAAAAAACAAAACAAAATGCAACTTACATTTAAACAAAATGCAATCCCATTGGGATCTCTAATTCTCCATGTACACACTTGTATGTTGAGTATAGATGCACAAATGTGTGAATAGTATCTTTGTGCACCAGACCGTTATGGACAATCTGTACAACAGATTCCAAGATTTCAATTTTTTGTGGAACGGGCCCAGGTACGTGGTTCTATTTTCTGTCAATTGGATAGCTGATGTCTGTGATCTCTCAAAAACTACATAGTAGAGAAAACAAAGAGGATCACAATGAAACTCCAATAATTGATGCAAGTCAATTTGCTTGGAATGCAAGTTTTCTTTTAAAATATGAACATACGCATTTAAAACAATGTTTATACACTGACACAACATACTTATACACAGAGACTCCGAGCTGCCATAATGCAGTGCATGTGAATACACTAGGGTATCAAAGAAGGCAATCACACAATGCAACATGGACATTGGACCAACACTTATATCAAACAGTACGTGGGCCAATTTAGGAAAATAAAATTTAAAAAAATATCAGGAAACACAAGATCATCTTCGAAATCAAAACAAATTCTTGTGTGGCAAAATCCGTAAAAAAATCAAATTTTGGGGGAAATCTGTAAGAAATGACAATATTCGTTGAAAAGTCAGAAAAGTTCCATTTATGAATGTCACTTCCACATAATGGTTTTGCAGAGTTTATACAGGTACCTGCTTGCCTTGAAAGACCAAATGCATCATTGAACGACTCAGCAAAACCAACGAAGCTGACCCAAGAATGATTTCTGCAAATAAACAAAGTATTATAATTAGTACAAAATAAATTTTCGTGATCAAAATACCCCAAGATCAATCACATCAGGCCAACAACTACAGACATTGCACTTTGCAACCATGAGCTGATTTTCAGGATGCTTGCACTGTTCAGGAAACAGTCAAGGTCACATATATGCGCACCTATGTATGTGCACCTATTGCGAAGCCGGACGTGGCAGGTTACACGCACTGTTTGCGCAACATGCACAGGCCCACGCGGCATGTGGGCGGTCAACCTACATGCAGTAGCCATCCGTGAGTGACACGGTTCTTGCGCCGCGCTGACCGGTCAATATGGACGTCTGTGCACGGTGACATTGATGCAGTCTGCCATTACATGTAGAGAATTAGGCTACGTGCAAATATTATGGCACTGGGTTTATCCAAGATTCACGTCTTACCATCATTTTTGCAATGAATGACTATCATTGAGATGATATATGAAGAAAAAAGTGGTGTCAGGTTGCAACATTTTTCCTATTATTGATCCATATAATCGCCGCGCGCATCGCGCAGGCCGGCCGCTTCCGAGTCGCTCCGAGTCACCCGCATCGGTACCGCGTACGACCGACTGCTGCTTGCGCCCGCCAGGCCCAATGCGGAAAATAATGCTGCCTGGCAAAGCGATTAGATCTTGAATGTGGTTCTGTGGGATAGAAATTAACTTTGACTTGAAAAGAATCGTTATCTTTTCGGAGTCAAGGAACCACACACTGTGCATACTAAGTCACGCACGTACAGTGTACTCTTTCCTTTTTGGCAAGATTACCAAATGCGAAGTTCACTAATTTTCCTCTGTATTGACTAACAAGCCCCCTGATAGCAATTTCATGTCATCAAAGTCAATTTGAGCCGTGAGAAAATACAAGCATTTTCTTAGAAAACACTTAAAATGTTTAAGTCCACTCTCAAAGGGTTTGTACACAGAGTGTTGAGTGAACTTCATATATGGAAATCTTTCCATTTTGATTATTCTGATGGTACGAGTCCTCTTAATTGAAGGTACGAGTTGTCCAAGGTACGAGTTATCCAAGGTACGAGATGTCCAAGGTACGAGGGGAAAATGTCCATACTCGATCACCACTTACCTGCCGCCAAACGTATCAATTTTCACCTCACCTTTTGATTTCAACCAAGAGGAATCCAGGAAACTGTGTAAATGCGATAGAAAATTAGGCAACATGTGTTTTTAGAGCACATTGTGGATACACACGTCGTGCAGAACTAAGTTGAAGCAGCCGGTCAAAACTGCTGTACGTTATACGCATAACATCGACAACCATGACAACCAAGACGTTGCATGAGCCGGCCAATGATAGTGCAATACGTCATTGTGAATATTTATTTTCGCAGGAATATTTAGTTCATTTCAATGGCTAATTCAAATACGTCCAATTTAGATTAATCTTATTGCATTCTATTGCAACAGCCATCATGCGCGGCCTAGCAGTTAAGAGTCTTGTGTTGGCGAGGTTCGAATCTCGATGATAAATAGAAATAAAGGAAAGGAGAGGGTGAGAGTAGAGGAGGGAAAGTGGAGGGAATAACCATAAAGGATGCAACTGTTGGTGCTTGAAAATTTATTGAAAAATGTGGTGATCGAGTATGACATTTTTTCCACTGGTTGTTTTAGGTGCCAGTCTATTTTCTTGTTTTGCAATTGCATGTTTTAAATACCTTCAGTTTTGGGACTCTCATACACAGTAGGGAGAGTCCCAAATTTTTGGACTGCTTCAACTCAGTTCTGCACGACGTGTGCATCCAAAAGGTGCTCTAAAAACGCATTTTGAAAACAGCTTCCTGGATTCCTCATGGGTGAAATCACAAGGTGAGGTGAAAATTGATGTGTTTGGCGGCAGGTACATGTATAGTGGTGAGCCAGTATGGACATTTGCCCATATTTTTGACTCAAATTTGATAAAAACAAAACAGGGGCCCTACACTACATGATCACTTGCAAACAATGAAGATAGTGGATATTTTGCCGGAGGTAATGACGGCAAACTAACGTTTACTAAAGGTTTGCCGGCGGCAATCCATATCAACAGAGGGCGCTGTACTCTTTAAGATAGGGCTGAATTATAAGATGTATTAAATTCCCACCAAAAGTTGTGTAGCACGATTGGTGTAGTGGTTAAGCAAAAGCCCTAGTAAGCGGGATGTCTCGGGTTCGATTCAGACCGCAGCACAATTTTAAGGTTTTTTTTCTCATCCCCAAATAAATACGAATATTCTTCTTTTATTATTTTAACATGTCTCAAACATTTTTTTGCAGAGTATTACCTTTTCTTTGTCAGATTTGTGGCTCTGGAGGATTTTTTTTAAAAGGAAAATAAGTCCGAAATTATAAAATGGTCTGAATCCCATCTTGTGAATACGAAAAAAATTACGAGGTTACATCGATAATTTTGACATGGAGCCAGACTAAAATTTGTCACCGGAAAATGTTTAAGTACAAAAAAACAGTAGGCTAACTGCGCATGTTCAGTGCATATCCGGCAAACTAACGTTTACTAAAGGTTTGCCGTCTCCGGCAAAATATACACTGCCAACAATGAAACATGATAAATGGTGGTAGAAACACATGAAAAAGCGATTTAACAATAACATTCAAGTCATAAACTTACGCCAGGCTACACTGCAGCTCCAACAGTTGCCTTTCAAGGTAGAGTGTATTGGACGCTCTCACAAATTGTCTTTGTTCCTTGTATAAGTTGAAACCAAGAGTTGCATTCCCATATGAATCGTATCTATAAATTAAGCTGCAGTGGCGGCATCGCAACGTGGATTTTCGGCCAATCTTGCACCCATTTAAGGTAATTACCTTAACCTTGGTACCATCCACGTGATTGTGTCCCAAGTTACCCTCACAAGAAATGCATGTAGAATATGGAGGGACCAAACAAAAATCAAAAGAATCTACAGGAGAAAAACTAGATGAGATCAAAGAGCACGAGCTTGGGAGTGACGGCTGCTGTAAGGATGAGGAAGATGGCGATTCGCATGTGGAAGAGGAAGTTGAAGCAGACAAAGTAGGCCTACGCACCGCTAACAAAAATTGGCACAGCTGTGAATCTGCTCCAAGACTTTCACTAAATAAATTTGCGTCAAAAAAAGAAGAAACGTCACTGCTTTCAATGGCTCGTTGTACTCTGCAAACTTCCAGAAAACCAAATCGCGAAACCACTACTCCAAACTGTTCATCGGTACTCAACTGACGAAACGAAGTTGAAGAAATGTTGATTTTTTCCAATGCACGCTGATATTGTTCAACTGCCTCGTCGTCTGCTTCGAGTTGACTTAAAAATGTTGTGAAATTAAGTTTCGCAACCTTTTTCTTCGGCATCCCGACCAGAAAACATATCTATTAAAGAGGTTGGCGTATTTACCATGTATACTGTCAACAACTGACGAAAACGAATTGAACAATATTAAAAGAATGAAGAACGAGGCGGGCGACGGCAGGGAAAAATGGATATCGTGGATGGAGCATGTACACGTGTATTCTGCACGCGCGTGGTGGTATGGTGCAACGTGGTGACGCTGGTAGGTCTGCTATACGTGATATGCAATATTTTGAAGTGCACCAGTGAACTTTCGATCGTTACTGCGCATGCTCAATTCTGTAGCAGTGTAGCAATGCTGCATGACATATGGTGCGTGACCGATCGTCTCGTTTCTTGCTCCATATGGTGTTATGGGCGCGGCCATTTTCCCGAGACTCATAGAGCACGCCCTCTTGTGATGTGACAAGACCATGGCGGTATCCAGCTTCGAGCTTCATGGTAGCATAAAATGGCACGACAGTAGGAGCGCGTGATGAATATGCATGACTATGACGTCACTAGAAGCTCATGAGTAATATATCACGCACGGTACTGATAGATATACATGTAGATGCACACTGTATGTGCTGCATCCCACCGATGATATCACATTTAACAAGTCCTCTTTCTACTGTCGCGCCGCCACCTCTAGTGTCGTCCCACTTGATGATCATCAGTTAGTGGGGCAACAGTAGAGGGTGGCGGCGCGACAGTAGAAAGAGGACTTGTTAAATGTGATATAATTGGTAAGTAGGACGACACTAGAGGGTGGCGGCGCGACAGTAGAAAGAGGACTTGTTAAATGTGATATCATTGGTTAGTGGGACGACACTAGAGGGTGGCGGCGCGACAGTAGAAATAGTGACGTCATAGTCATGCATATTCATCACGCGCTCTACTGTCGTGCCATTTTATGCTACCGAGCTTCATGGCTGTGACTCGACTCCGACCACGGCCTTTTTTCGCGGCTCTAAAATTGTTATTTCCTTAATCAATTTCGGGTCAGGATACGTCCAGCAATTTTGTACATGCAAAAAATGGTTAATCCTCTTCGTCAGTTCCAGGAAAATAGTCTGAGTAATTAATTGTAGCTTGACAAAATAAGTCACAAGTATACTATGGGAAAAAAGACCTTTGCCTGTTTTCAGACAGTTGACTCAGATCATCGCTATTCACTTTTAGTCCCATTTCATTAGGCCCGGGCTAATTAATTATAGTTTGGCAAACAAGGGGTGGGATATAAGACCTAAGACTTAAGAATAGGCCTACTCGTAAACTGCAAACGAAACTGGTTTAGTTGAACTTTGCTCATCTAGCCCTAGCTAGGCCTAAAGGCTTTTTTGCTCTTTTTTTGGGCCTGCTTAGCAGTAACAAAATTGTCCTTCGAGATGCGTTTGCCCAAACGTAGACTAGAACAAACAATTGAGGCCTTATTGTCGGAATGTCAATGCCCCTGTTGTGTCACCCACTTACATTTTGTACCTCTAATTCCACTATCATTCTTCAACACCTTTACAGAGAACCTAGTTTTCGCATCCTTTTCACCATCCTGAGTAAAACCAGTGTTGTGGACTCTTTTGCGGTTGTAATCCCCTATCACGAGACACTTCAATTCATCACCATCTTAAGTCACCCACGAAGGTTGTCCAAGTCCCCTTTGTTAAGAGTGGAGAGGTACCTGTCACACATTGTCAACTCCTTGCCGACAGCTCTTCATGCCGCAAACACCTTTTTGTTCGTCATACCAAAATCTTTGTGGAGCTAGCTCTCTAGAATTAAGAGCCCAGTCCAAAGTGAAGACTTGTTTTCCGTTGAGTATCCGCCAGCAAATTGCTTGTGCCGCGTGAGAAAAAAAAATCACACCATCGTTGCGTCAACTGCGGTGAGAAACAATAGGCCTACATGGAATCCCATTTGATGAAGATCTCACGGTATCTTGCATGCTGTTTCCAGGACTGACATTGTCAGAGAAATTACAAAGTAACTTGACAACGAACAAAACTTTAAAATCGTTTGGCTACGAGTGGAGGAAAAACCTGAAGTGGACTACAAGTACTTGCCGTCATGAATTCGGGATTAATTTGACTTTTATTTCTTTACGATGTGTCGTTCCATTCAAGTCAAGATGGACTTCGTCCTGAGATAGCTGTTTTTACGGCCAGACACTTTGGTCGTGTATACAAAGGACGGACGTCGTTGTTTTATGATAGATTACACTAGGCGCACAGAACCCCCAAGCGATGACATTTTTTTCTGCAAATCGCGTCCAACCTCCTGCATTCGCAACCCTGTAACTTTAACTGCATGTAAAAATATGAAAGAAATGATAAAACACTAACAACCATGGCAACTCAGCTGGAGATGAGAGAAACAGACAGCTATGTTGGCACGTCAGTCTGCAGGAACGGACGTACTTTTGTGCACCGGGTACCGTCCTCTACAACGACCGGGCACCAGGACCAAATTCTCGGTAGCCAATCCAGTGATTCACGGTAAGTTGTAGATCGAGCTTTGAAGGCCCTGTGTTTTCTAAATTTGGGGTTACTTTTTGCTTGTTCCCTCCGCGTTTGGAAAAAAAAGCTTAGGTGTTAAATCAAATCGTGTCCAACACTGAAGCGCCGCATAACCCACAAAACGCAATCCTTAATTCCATTTCAAATGCTGAAATAGGTTTGTAAAGGACCTATTTATTTTAAAAAGGCACTCCATTTTTTCATGTTTTTATTTGATATATGCATGGGAATATTAGTGAAGGACAACATTAATTCTCGGGGTTTCGACGCGAAAGTAGTATTCGTTGCATTAAAATAAGATTTACGGTAGCACCGTGTGATAAATTCTTTTGTGAGTTTGTGAGGTTCTGAAAAGAACCGGGAGGGGGAGTCAACGTTTCGGCCATGCTCTGCCCGTCGTCAGGAGACTGACATCACTGCAATTATGGATGACGGAACGGTTTAAATTGTTTCTCGTAGTTAACGACATTTTGTTTCATTTGGCCAAAACAAATTACTTCTTGTACCTTGTATGTTCCAGCCCCCTGCACACAGCGTCACAATGGCGTCACAGTTTTACCTCAACCAAGTCACGTTAATAATTGAATTGATAAGATTGACAACCCCCACCCCGTGGAGCGAACCTGCAGCAAGACATCTCAAGCGTCATAATATTAACACCTCAGCTATAGTTACTGATTACAATATTGCATGTTTATCACCCTTTGTGTTGATTTCAACAAACTTATTTTGATGCGAGACACATATTGCCTAAAATGAGCCAAATACGTTTCCCGCCCGTACAGGTATTGCTCCAGTAAACAGCACAAGAGGAGGACATCAGAACGCCTCAGACCATTAGATAGTTCTCAAGTCACTACGGAGTCCCTCACACCACCAAATAGCTCCCGCATCGGGCGACATCAGGGTGATATCTTGTCAAAACACGCCCCAGATGGTATTTCGAATCAACCATATTGCCGGAGAGAGGCGGACATGGATCCAGAACGCTCCGCTTTGGAGTTAGAGGAACCCAAAATGGCACATTATCAGGCACCAACGCGCAAGGTTTTGGAATTCACCGAATCTCCGCGATATAACCCCTCCTCAGTGCCTCGATACATGCCCGACCAGACCAATCACAAACCAACGCCGATGCCGGCCATTCGAAAGGGCAACATCACGTACAAAGATTACCGAGGAATGCTTGCCTCTCTCACAAGAGACGGCGATGTCGACACGGAAATCTCAATCGGTGATCCTATTGGACTAAACCAACCCTCGAGGGAGACAGGTAGTTTGACTCTGCCAAGTTTAAACACCGTGAACAATTCAAACACTACCACTCGCCTCAAGAAATCTAAACTGCCTCTGGAGCTGGAAAGCCTCTACACAAGAGGTGGCTTGAAGATCTCCACGCTCCGAATCGACTCGGAAGGAACTCTGCCAGGGGATTTCTTGAATCGAAACAAGGAAGAGTTGCGCCAGATGTACCCAATGTACGACTGGCGCGTTGCCAACGGCGCCCGCGAACTCGGAGACAGAAAAGGTAGAAATCCTCCAACGATCGGGACCAAGGAAACATCGACAGTGCCCTCCATGTTACAGCTCCCTGACAAGTTCTCTAGCGTTCAGTACAACTCTCCGAGGGAAAAATCGAGGTTTATCGGTAAGAGACAAAACAAGAAGGCGGTCAGGAGTGAGAAAAACAGAGCGAGTGAACGATTGGATGCGGTGAAGGAAGATTTGGACAAAACTGGAGACGTGGCCGCGGTCTTGGAACAAATCAGCGCGGGCCAGTTACCCGGAGAAATACGGCCAACTTCAGGACTGTTTCCAAGACAACCGCCACCGACACCGATGGACGGTCGAAGAAAGAGGGTCGCGGACACCCAACCCTAACGATAACAATTCAAATATGACTGAAAATGCCGAGTTTGATATCGATTTTGAAGGCTGATCTTGGTTGGGTCAAGCCGTGCCGAGCTTGTGATGGGACCGATTGGGCCAATACAGGCTGAGAGCATGAATCTTAAAAAAGTGGTTCTGCTGAAGTTTACGTATTCAATATTTTCATCCATCATCCGTCCACCCGCTCCAATACAACAATCATATCACAGGTTTAAAACAAATTGAAAACACATAAAGTTAGCTTTTGAAAGAAAAAAACACCGGAGGAAAAGTAATATATTTGTTCGTACTCGCTGCCAATATCACGGATAATGTGTCACAATGGGTACTACACCATCGGATTTAAGGCATTCGGGAATCAATATACCGGTTCGATTGAAAGTATCGCGGGTGGAAAATGTTGTTTTGGGGAGCTGGGGACGACCGATGGTCGATTTATTATTTTCAACTAGCCTGGGCCAAACTCTGATGTGCTCTCTGTCAAAAACAGACTCTTTAACGTTTGTTTTAGTTATCCCCTTTACAATCACATTTATATTTTTGAGACATCGGTAAAAGAGGGATGCATGCCTTGAACTGATACACCTCTACAAATTATTCCAAACCGTCGTTACATGCAATTATTTTACATTATATTTCAGTCGTATTTTAGGATCACAACTTCGTGGGAAAAACCCTGCAAATCACCCAAACACGATTGTGTGTAATACCTCCGTTTTCAAGCTCTACTCAAAAGCTTCTATTAGTTTTCAACAGAATATGTAACAATTATCTTTGTAACAATTACATAACATTAAACATAAGTGTTCAATTAAATAATGCGGTGCCGAGAAACAAGGAAAAAGTTTGAAAGAACCAAAACAAGTCTAGTTGAGTTTTCCATTTGCCGCCATAACCACGGCGATTGGCACTTTTATTCTTTCATTTTTCCCATTACATACG